TTGCCTGACATACCCCTACCTCAGAAAAGTTCATTTCCATAAATCTGTGCTGGAATGATCATTCACTGGTTTCGAGACAGGCAGTCAACTGTGATTTTGTCATTACTTCAAGAGTACATTGATTAATCAGAACATGGCATTGGGCAGTCAGGATTCCAGGCTAATAGCATAGTGGGAGGTAACTTGCTATACTTGGATTTCATGAGTTGCAGACAAGTAGGGCAGGTGGAGAAAGTCATGAAGCACGCACCATAGAAAAGTACCTTCCTTTGAGTCACACTAACAAAGCACTCATTCCCATTTTAGCTGAAGGTTTTATTTTTTTTCTGTTGCTATATATTTGTGCAGACATTTTCAGAGGAAAAAAGTTTATCCATTTGAACATTCTTAACAGTTGCTATGCAAGTTTATAAAAACCATATTATCTGTTGTAGTCATCATCACTAAAGTTACTATGCATGTAAAATTCTAAACTGGGCGTAGGAAATACAAGTTCATATCCTTGGGTGAATTTTTTCACAGTCTTTGCTGGTATTTCACTCTAGTTCTATCTGAATTTTTTGGCTAAGCACCTACACCTTTTAGCTCAAATGTTTCTGTTTTAAAAAAAATAAAAATAACAACTACTAAGCCTGGTACATCACCTGTAATTCCAGCTACTCAGGAGACTGAGGCAGAAGGACTGCAAATTCTAGGCCAGCCTGGATAATTTAGCAAGACCCTGTCTCAAAATACATTGGGGGGGCGGGGGGGGGGGCAGGAAGCCTGGTATATAGTTCAATGAAAAATCCTAATTAAGCCTGTGCTCCATTTTGTTACATAAAAATTGCTGTATACCAGACCTGAGTGCTGTTCTGCTCCTGACATGGGCGGGACTCTGGCCCCTCATCTGTCACTGATCCTGTTTACTCCTCAGTAGGACAGGGATTTTTTTTTTTTTTTATCAGCCTCATAAAATTTCTGTAAAAATGAAATAAATAGTGTACGTAGAGCCCATGGTCCATAGTAAACATTCAGTGCAGGTTCGTTTTCTTCTTTCTTTTTTTTTTTTTTTTTTTTTTTTTAAATTTTTTATTTTATTTATTTTTTTTAAGAGAGAGTGAGAGAGATAGAGGTAGAGAGGGAGAGAACTTTTCAATATTTATTTTTTAGTATTTGGCGGACACAACATCTTTGTATGTGGTGCTGAGGATCGAACCCGGGCCGCACGCATGCCAGGCGAGCGCGCTACCGCTTGAGCCACATCCCAGCCCCGTTTTCTTCTTTCTTGATGTATAAATTATACTTCCCTTCTGGAAGTGGTAGTTTTATCATTTGCTAAAATAGTGTCAATTTGAATGCAAAAACATTAGAATGTCAGCTTTAAAATATACAAATGAGAGTTTGAAAGAAGAAGTCTTCTTAGAACCTAAGCCTCATGCCCCCTCTGCAAGTCTCCTGGTGGGGTGTAAACTGCTCGGGGCTTAGAGGCAACTCATTGTAGGCCACAGAGGGAACAAAACAGGACTGTCATCTCATCACTTTGTTATTTGGTGATGTGACATGTGAGTACTCACTCTGTTGTTGGCTCATAATGTCTGCCAAGGTATGAATGCCATGTGTTCCCCTCAGCTCTGATTATGGGCATTTTGTTATCTTGATCATCAATCTCCTGAGTAAATGGATGCACCAGAGAAGCAGGGCAAGAATATGCCAACGCTTTATTTGTTCATTTAAAAATAAAGAGATTTCATTTTACTGATGGTATTGGCACAGACAACACACCAGGGATCAACTCCAGAGCTCCAGGTGCCCTGAGGGAAGAGAGAGGAGAGAGTCAGCACGCAGCCTGGCACATGGGCTCTCACCTTGTCACTCCTCTACAGTTCATTGTGTATTGCGTTCCTGGTAATTGCCTCCCAGACTGAAGGTAGCACAGTAATAATATCAGTACACGACAGAAGACAGTGGTAGAGCTGACATCCCCCTCCTCCTAGAGCAGGTACCATGTTTCAAGGTGGAAGCAGTGACAAACCCACATAATCTCACAAGAAATGGATCCATAAACATTATCAGGAAGACTATTTCCATTACGGGTTTGCATCCACAATAATAAACAATGTGTCTTACTGTGAGTATATACTTTGCTTGCTGATGATAATGTGAAGCCTTTGTGATTAGCGAAATATATGATAGCCAATTATCCAGATAATTTTTCTTTCTGTGGTACTGGGGACTGCAACCACGGGGCTCTCTACCAATGAGCTAAACCCCCAGCTTTTTTTTTTTTTTTTTTTTTGAGACGGGATTTCCCTATGTTGCTGACACTGGTCTCAAACTTGCAATCTTCCTGTCGAACCTGGCACAAATTAATTTTTAAAATATTTTAATGAGTACAAAAAAATGTTTTTTAATCATTAGTTAAGTGTCTTTAAAATTAGTTTATTTTGTCTTTATCTCATTCTCTTTATTCTTTTATATATATTATATGATATGTGAAACATTAATGCTATACTGTATTACACAATTCATAAATAATTAGAACATATATATTGCAAGTACCTCATTTTTTTTTTAACTTATAGACATATTTAATCAGAAGTTTAAGACCTCTGATCTAGATTCTGGCTAATGGTCAAAATCTCCTGGAGAGAACGACATAGAAAGCCTCTGGTTAGGCTCTGGGATCCGTGTTCCACAAGCTTCCCGGCCACCTTTGATGATCAGACATATATGGGAACTTATCCCTTGTCTCCATTGTTATAAGCTAAACATCATCCAATAGCAAAATCTCAGCTTTTAGTAAATATTAGAAAGAAAATCATTTTGTAAGCCTAAAACAGATGTCTACTATTTCACTGATATTTTTTCATTTTTTAGAATGTGTTTTTAACAAATATGTTCCTACTCTACTATTTTTTGATCAAAGAAGAGAATTTTGTGCACAGGTATTTATTTAAACTGTAAGAAATTATCAATATGTAGCCTCTTTTTTTTTTAACCAACAAAAATGGTACTTTATATGGTTAACCAATGTTTTTCTCAGAAAATTGTTTGTATTTAAAATAAGGCTGATTATGGTAACAAGCACCTATAATCCTAGCTACTTGGGAGGCTGAAGCAAGAGTGTTTGAAGCCAACCTGGACAACACAGCAAGACCCTATCTCAAAAAATAAGAAATAAGATTAAGATTTTTTTTTTCCTTTTTTTTTTTTATTGGTTGTTCAAAACATTACAAAGCTCTTGACATATCATATTTCATACATTAGATTCAAGTGGGTTATGAACTCCATTTATAAGATTTAAGATTTTAAAAATAAAACCTGTGAGGATATTTACACAAAAGGGAAGCGTTTATTTCACATCTTTGTAGCGTATCTTAAAATAGGATTTTAGCGGAATTATTGCAATGTGTTTCCTATTTGTGTCTTTCTTCGAAAATTTATTCACTATGTTAAAAATCATTTTGTGTACCTCTAAACTCCATAAACAGAATTTTAATCTCAGAATACCAAAAGAAATTTAAAATCTGATTTGGGAAAAATAAGACTCATAAGCATAGAAGCACAACCAAACTGTTTTGGACAAAATCAGCAATTTGTGAAGGAGCTGATACCAACAATTTGCTTGAGATAAAACAGTGATTTATCTAGAATGAAAAGTGGTGTAGCCAGCCATCACCTGCCTTTGTATTTGCTGATTACCTAAGTTGTGAGGCCTAGGCTTGGAGATGGTGCTGCTCCCCTGGATGTCTTTTCTTTGCAGAGCAAATGCATTTCAATGGCATTCATGTAATATAGCACTCTCTCCACAGAATAGTTAAAAGTTATAGTCCTGTGTGCTATAATAATATTTAGAAGAGCACTTTAAAGGAAAACATTAAAACGTTTGCCAAGTATTGCTTTTAATGCATTTTACCTATAAAATAGAAAACATATAAAAGGGAAAGTTCAGTTTTAAAAACAAAGTTTTATATTTTTGCATATTTGACTATAAACACCTGAATACTCGCCTGAATAAAAAGGGTCAGAAGTGGCCTTTTGGTTGGGGGTTGGGATGTTACTGAGAATGTGCTTTACCACTCAGCTACCTTCCCAGCCACCGCCGCCGCCGCCTCCTCCCCGCCTCTGCTTTTCTTTAAATTTTCAGACAGGGTCTCATTAACTTGCTGAGGCTGACCTCAAACTTGTGATCCTCCTGCCTCAGCCTCCCAAGTGGTGGGTTTATAGGCATGTGCCACCAGGTCCAACATAAGTCTTCTTGATTTGTTAATGTTGTGGTTTTAAACATGGTTTGTTAAAAAGTTATGGCATTCTTTTAGGTTTTTTGTTTCATTTTTGTTTATTTTGTTTTGCTCTGTTTTATTTCTTGGCAGTATTGGAGATTAAATGCAGGGCCTATCACATGCTAGACAAGTATTCTACCACTGAGCTACATCTCCAGCCTCTCTTAGTTTTTAATGACAAATATTTAGATGTTATTCCGAGAATACTACTATGTTAGGGTCTTGCTACATAGTTGATGTTGTGCTGTGACATGAAACAAGAGTAATTACAGCTTGCCGTTGATTCCCTCTGATGATCAGGGATGAGAGTGATATGGATAAATTAAATTTAACAGATAATCCCCAAAACATCATTTTAGCCATTAACTTAAAATTCCTATCCTATTAAGTCTTGTTCTGAGACCTCCTGTTAAGCTTCAAAAGTGACAGGTTTTTAGACTGAGCTTTCTTTTCCCACCATCTCCTGGGTGCTGCTCTCTAAATGAAATACAAATACAGCATGGGGCAGCACAAGAAAGAGTAGAATCTAGGAAGCTACTCAATTCAGAGAATGAATAATCAACCCTGGTGTTCAGATTTGGTCCTGATGTAGTCATTAAGCCCTAAGAAAGACAGGACTGCACATAGGAAGGCAGGATCAAGTAAACACAGTGTCGACTACCATGTGGGAAGACATCTACTGAAAATATATTTCTTAAAACTATTTGTTGGAAAAAATTTTTCTTTGTATTGCAGGTAATCACCTTCTTTAGCTCAAGGTTGCTACAAGCTGGAGCTGAGCTTTCCGTGGAGAGGGTCTTAGAGATCATTAAGCAAGGGGTTGTTGCACTGCCCAAAGACAGACTAAAGGTAAGATGGCCATGACACTTGGTGTAACATCATCACATCATCGTCTAAGCAAGTTCTACTTGGAATTGTACCACTGACCCAGTACATGTGCTAGAAAGGCCAGGTATTCCCCACTCTTCTGTGTACTGATACTCAGAATTGTGCTGACCGTTCCTGCAGCTTTTCAAAAGAAAACAGCAAAAGAAGGATACCACAGCACATCCTGTGAGTATCCCTGTATATCCTGTGAGTAATTCATATACCATTAACAGAGAAGCACCTTATTTTTTAAACCCAATTAAGCAAATTTAGTGTAAAAGTATCAAGTGTTGATGGGAAGGTAGCAATGATGACAGTTACCACAGTAGCTAATCCTTCCTCAGTGTTTGCTCAGTGTCACAAGAGCTTCACGTTATTCACCTACATCAATTCATTCTGTCTTCACAACAGCCCTTTGAAGTGGGCAGTGTTATCATCTGAGTCTTTCAGATGAGGAAACAGATGTAGAGAGAGGCAAAGAAACCTAGTCAAAGACACACAACTGGAAAATTATTAAGCTGGGAGATTCAGATCCAGGAAGTCTGGCTACAGAGCCTGTGCTCATAATTACTGTGCTATTTACTGTATGCCAGCATTATAGCAAGGGAAAGAAAGCATTTCAAGGAAAAGGTATGAGAAATGCTGGATTTGGGAAAGACATTTACATATGTGTGATAGATGTATTCCTGAAGTGATCTCATGATTTGAAATTCATTCTTTAAGACTAACTTTCCCATAAGAAAAAATATAAAGAAGCTATTTTGGGAGAAGTATGAATGAATAATATTGAAACATAATTTTATTTTAATACTTCTCACTATGTTTGTCCTTCATTAGATCTAATTTTTGTAGAGTGCTTTCTCCCAAATTATCAACCTAGTGGATGTTTGGCCTTCTTCATTGTGTTTTATCACAACCAACTTCTGTTCCATAGTGCTGTTTGGGGCTGTGTTTTCCTGTACTATCACTAGAACCATTGCTTCATGAAAGCTTGAGAGATATTATTGTAGGTTATAAAAATATTTTCAGTTATAATAACAGAGTTTGTAAAATAACAGCACATTAGTCATCTTAATCACTTACAGAAGCTCCCCTGTACATAAACAGCAGTGAGACTTGCACAGTCCTGAGCAAAAATGGCAGATGTTTCTGTGGATCAATAAGTGGCACCACATGTACTAATAGCATAAAAACAGTTCACTGGATCCTTCAGCTTTCACATTATTCTATTCCTGACAATTTTCTAAATATATTCCCATTCTTACATAAACTAAGACATTGGAGTGTTGGTTTTGGGGTTTTGCACTATTTCAATTTGTTTGCATTATGCCATATGAACCGGAGCAAAAATCCATGAAGATTAGAGTGGCTCTTCCCAGGAAGTGATGGATCTTGGCATCTAAGCTTAGTCAAGAAAGAAGTGAAATATCAGGAGGCCGTCAGAGAAGGATAATGCAGAGGAGATGGGAGAAGGAAGATTTTCTAAGATTAAAGAATTTGTTTAGTGGAAGTAAAGAAAGATTGTGATTAGAGAGAAGTGTATTTAGACTGTGATTTCAAAAGTGAGGCAGATTTTGGTAATAACATGGTCTGGATTGACCATGAGTATGAGGGACTGAGATGGTATGGATGTGGATGAAAGCATGATTGTTGGTGAAGAACTAGAAGTTATGGGGCAGCCACCTAGAAGTCAGTGGGGGACAGCTTCAAGGAAGAGAAGCGGCTGCTACCAGCCTGTATTTTACTTAAGGGTAAAAGAGAAATAGGAAGAAACAAAGAAAGCAAAAAGGTCACCAACCCTATTTCCAGACTTTAAGAATATAGAGTATGAAAAGCTCAGGGGATCAGGAGTAGAGCTGAGTAGAGCCCTACAATCAAAGAAGAGATAAGGGTGAAGGATTGAGCGCAAGAATGAGGATGAGGGCGTAAAACAGGCTTGAAAAAAATAACCATGGAGTGTAGGAGAGAGGGAAGAAATAAGAGATTGGGCAGGGGAGATAAGGCACAAAGTAGTAGAGGACAAGAGTATAGGAGGGGACGGCTGGCTGGAGGGCTTTTGTCTGAGGCAGAGCCCAGTGAAATAAAGTCACTTGATGTGTTAGCTTTAAGCTTACCAAGGGTCCCATCAACACTGAATAAATCCTCAAGCATCTGCTCTGTGACAGCCATTGCTGTAGGTGCTTGGGCTATGTAAGTGACCAGAGTCATGCCTTTACACGGCTCACCATCCAGCAGAAAGGGGTGGACAGTAAGCAAGCATGAAAAGTAACAGTCTGGTGTGTTAGAGCACAGTGAGTGCTGTGGACTAGAAGGAAATGTGGAACAGATTAAGGGGTGGGCGTATCAGTGAGGGTGTGGTGAGAGAATAGTCTGGGCAACATTTGGCAAATATAAGAAGATGAGGGAATTAAATATGCTGACACCACAGTAAGAGAGCCACTCAAGGGCTCCTTCAGCAGGAGGAAGCTGGGCATAATGGAGAGGGCAAGGAGACAGCACAGTGAGAGCTGGGCGAGAGGAGAAATGGGTGTACAGAGCTGACAGGGGACCAAGGAGGGGCACACATCACACAATGAGGCCTTTAGACTATTTTAGTAATTTGTTTTTGGGATTTTTTTTTTCTGGAATGAAATGGGAAACTTTGTAAGATTTGAGAAGACAAATTATATGAATCACTAATAGAAATTTAATAGAATCACTCTAGCTGCTGGGTTGAGAAACAAACTAGTTAGAAGACTGTTACTTGTCTTGGACCATGGTGCTAAAAGTGGAAGTACCAACAGAATTCATCTAAGAAATGTCTGGAGGGGAGGGGAGAGCACTCAGGCGCCCTAGAAGAGAGCTGCCATCTGCCTTGGTTACAAAACCTCCATTCGGTGGCTAGAACAACCTAAGTTCTGACAGAGGGTTAGAGAACTGGTTGAGCACTGGAAAAGCCGTTGACGAAAGTGAATTTGAACTTGGTCTGTATGGTCTCAAGGATACCCTGAAGACAATCTAGAAAACTTTCAGAGGTTGGTCAGCCAGATGTGTCATGGATACACCTGGTTTGCTAGGTGTTGTGGGGCTCAGCCATATACTGCTAGGGTAGACAGGCTGTCTGTTGGAGACTCGTCAGAGAAAACTTAGTGAATGCCAGTTGGGAAACTTTCAGATGATTACCAAAATTGTAAAAGAACACAAGGAGTGACTGATTTCAGGAACTTGAACTATTGTTATTAGCCTTGAGAAGAAAAGATTCAAGCAGAAAAGACTTGTCTCCAAGTACTGGAAGAATTGTTTATAGAAGCAGATTTGGTCTTGTTATATGTGCTCTCAGGGAGCAGGACTAGGACAAATGATTGGAAGCCACATACAGGGGCACACATTTCCATCCCAATAATAAAGAACTTTCTACAGATGGAATGAGCAAGTTTGGGGAAGTGATGTGTTCACTCTCACTGGAGTGTGAAAGTAACAGACTGATAGCCACTTGGCAGGGAGGTGAATAGGTTCCATCTTGAATGCAGCTGTTACCTTTTGGTGCTAGCTGGAGGACAGTGATAGAAGAGTATTCTAAAGCTCAATTCAGGTTTAACGGGAAAAGTACTGAGGTGTGTTACCAAGCCCTGCCACTGGCAGCAAGAGCACAAAGCAAGGAGCACATATACTTCTTGTTCTTTGCCATTCTGATCATAAAGATTCAAACACTGGTTGGGAAATCCAACTGTGTTGCTGCTAAGGATTTTTCCATTCCTAAGAGTTTAATTTTGTCTATGCATGAACTAAAATTGTCATTCTCCACAAAGGGGGAACTGCATAAATTTTGATGACTGTTATTGCTCTCAGAAAATGCAAAAAAACAATGAGAAAAAGCTGTGACTGTGGGCAGATTTATATTACAAAGAATTCACTTTTCAGTTTATAATAACAGATGACAGACCTGTGTGCTAGAAGAAAGACAGATTGCTTTAAGTTGTGTGTAGCTCATAACAAGGAGAAAAAAAAATGTGATTCAAGAAGGATAGAAAACTAGGGGGTGAGGGGAATCTTAACATACACTTAACTGATTATTTTGTGCAAACAAATATGAGAGATACATTTGTACTAGAGTAACTTGTATCATCTGTGCATCGCTGTCACCCCCTTCTCCTGTCTCTCTGTTACAGAGGAGGGGCCAAGATGATTACATTTCCCAGAGTCCTCTTCGTCAATCTAGGTTAGAGTCTGCCAAAGAGAGGTACTTGCATGAGATTTAGAGGGCAAAAGAAAAAGAAAAGCCATTATTCTCCAGAGTCAGCCCTGCCCTTACCTGCTGTGTTAGTCAGATTTTTGCCACTGTAATAAAATGACTGAACTAGTCAACTGACAAAGATTTATGTTGGCTCATGGTTTCAGAAGTTTCAGTCCATGATCATTTGGTTCCAGTGCTTGGGACCTGTGACAAAGCGTCATATTATTACAGAAGCACATTCGGCAGAGCAGAACTGCTCACCTCAACTTGAGCCACGGAGCAAAATAGAGTAACAGGGAGCCAGGGTCGTGCCATACCCTTCAAAGGCACACACCCAATAACCTAAAGACTTCCCACCAAGCCCCTCCTCTTTAAAGTTGCCACTACCTCCCAATAACTCCATGAACTGGGACTGCCTTTAACACAAGCGCACTTGAACCTTCGGGAAACATCCTAGATGCAAATATAGCCCCACTCTTGGTGGGATAGCTGGCCCAGGGTATTGATGGCTGAGAAACTGAGAGATGCTGAGAATTTGCAGCCACTTGCAGTGCGCTCTTAAGAACGTAACACCATCGGCTGTCGCACCCTTCCCAACAACTGTATCAGTCTGTTTCACACATAAATCCCTTACGTTTGACTGGTATAAAGTAGCTTCTGTTTTTTGCTACCAAACCTGTCAGGGAAATAAAACCTCTGATTTCAAACAGTCAAATTAATGAAGAATTTAAAATCACAGAAAGGACTGGGGAGCAAATTTGAAAGAAAACCACTGCTGATAGCCAGTAAATCAGAAGTGGCAGGAATGTCACCATCAAAGTGGAGGTCTGCAGGAAGACACTAAGCTTTTGCTGACGCCCGCAGTCCTGCCCACCACTGTGACCAGACCCAGGTTTCTTTTTCCACCTTCCAAAATATAAGTTCCTCTCATTGCTACAATCCAGTCCCATGCCCTGCTGGAGATAAGATGGGAAAGGTAGGGTTCAGGCTTCCAGAACCTGCCCACAGGGGAAAGCATGAGACAGGGAGGAGCGTGTTTAAGTTGCCCCTTAAATTGTGGCACAGGATGTAGAGACAGTGGTAAAGCAGCATGAGAAGTAGTAAAGCCACTCCCAGACAAGTGTGGGCTTTTTGAAAGGATGTGTACAAAAGACAGAAGGAGCAGCGTGTGGAGGCCAGATGCAATGGAGTGGCATGAACTTGTACAACAGCGTCAGAAGACTCAAATTGGAAAGGGATTTTGATCCTCTAGTGGGGAACCCAAAAGCTTTGGGTCTTCAGCACAGGAAGGCTACTACGTGATTGATTGATTGATTTATGCATTCCCCCATTTTTAATTCTAATTTGGTTCTCTTATCTCCTTCAATGAGAATAATCTCACACTGGAAGAATATGTCCTTTAAACAAATTGAAACCCAAGATAAATAAATGAATGGTTAAAAAAAAAAAAAGCTGGCAGCAGCCCTTTTATTTTATTTTTAGTATCTTTTTATTTTAAATTGATGCATAGTAATTGTATGAAGTACATTGTGATGTTTCAATACGTGTATAAAGGTATAATGATCAGATGAGGGTAATTAGCATATCTACCACCTCAGACATTTATCATTTCTTGGTGTTGGGAACATATAAATCTTTTCTACTAGTTATTTTGAAATAATTAATCATTGCCAACAACAGATACCCTACTGTGTAACAGAATGTTAGAAGTTATTTTTCCCATCCACCTGCACCCTGTATCTGTTAACCCACCCACTCTCAGTCCCTTATTACCCCCACATCCTTTCTACACTCTAGTAACCACTGTTCTATTCTCTACTTCTTTGAGATCAACTTTTTACTTCCACCTACAAGTGAGACTATGTAGTATTTGTCTTTCTGTGCCTTATTTCGCTTAACATAGTTTCCTCCAGTTTCATTCATTAACTATAAATGACAGAATGTTTTATTTTTATTACTGAATAATATTCCATTGTATATGTACCACATTGTCTTTATCCATCTGTCCATCTTTGGACACCTATGTTGATTCCATTGCTATTATGAATAGTGCTGCAGTAAACGTGAGTGCAAAGGTCTCTTCAACGTACTGATTTGTTTCTTTGGATGCACACTCAGTACCGGGATTGCTAGATCATATGGTAGTTCTATTTCTAGTTTTTTGAGGAACCTCTGTACTGTTTTGCATAATGTACCAGCCTTTCAATATTAAGACTGCTTCTTAAAATGCTTGTCAGTAAATTTGAACTATAACTTTCAATAAATTTGAGAGCTTAAGCTCTACTAATAATAGTAAAACTAAGACTTTTTTAATTTCTTTTTTTTATTTATATATAGCAGGAATGCATTACAATTCTTATTACATATATAGAGAGCACAATTTTTCATATCTCTGGTTGTATACATAGTATATTCACACCAATTCATGTCTTCATACCTGTACTTTGGATAATAATGATCATCACATTCCACCATCATTATTTACCCCATGCCCCCTCTGTTCCCCTCCAACCCCTCTGCCTTATCTAGAGTTCGTCTATTCCTCCCATGCTCCCACTCCTTATCACACTGTGAATCAGCCTCCTTATATCAAAGAAAACATTTGGCGTTTGGTTTTTTGGGAATGGCTAACTTCACTTAGCATGATCTTCTCTATCGCCATCCATTTACCTGCAAATGCCATGGTTTTATTCCATTGTGTATATATGCCACATTTTTTTTTATCCATTCATCTATTGAAGGACACCTAGGTTGATTCCACAGTTTAGCTATTGTGAATTGTGCTGCTATAAACATTGATGTGGCTGTGTCCCTGTAGTATGCTTTTTTTAGGTCCTTTGGGTATAGACCGAGGAGAAGGATAGCTGGGTCAAATGGTGGTTCCATTCCCAATTTTCCAAGAAATCTCCTTACTGCTTTCCACAGTTCTGACTGCCATTCTGACTGGAGTAAGATGAAATCTTAGAGTGGTTTTGATTTGCATTTCTCTTGCTAGTGATGATGAACATTTTTTCATGTGTTTGTTGACTGATTGTACATCATCTTCTGAAAAGTGTCTCTTCAGGTTCTTGACCCATTTATTGATTAGGTTACTTGTTTTTTTGGTGTCTAGCTTTGTGAGTTCTTTATATACTCTAGTGATTAGTGCTCTATCTGATGTGTGAGGGGTAAAGATTTGCTCCCGAGATGTAGACTCTGTATTCACCTCACAAATTGTTTCTTTTGCTGAGAAGAAACTTTTTAGTTTGAATCCATCCCATTCTTTTTTTTTTTTTTTTTTTTTTTGAGAGAGAGAGAAAATTTTTTTTAATATTTATTTTTTAGTTTTCGGCAAACACAACATCTTTGTTTGTATGCGGTGCTGAGGATCGAACCTGGGCCGCGCGCATGCCAGGCGAGCGCGCTACAGCTTGAGCCACATCCCCAGCCCCAAAATTTTCAATCTCTAGACCTGCTTTTCAAATTTTATTTCACCATCCTCTATGGAATTTTAACTTCTCTGTCCTTCCCTGTATGTTGTAGGCACCAGTTGTAAGAATATTTAATAGAGTTCACACAAACCCTTTATCGAGCTTCCCCTAATGTTAACAGCATGTGTAGCTGTAGTACAGTGATGGAAACCTCCGAATTAGTATTAACATAATACTGTTAACTCAGACCTTTCTTGAATTTTGTCATTTTTACTCTCTTGATGCCCTTTTTTTTTTTGCATTCCAGCATGTCTCACAATTTAGGTTTTTCCTGATGTTTTCTCATCAATCTACTGAAGTTAAGCATATTTGGCAAAACATCACAGAAGCAATGTGTCCTCAGTGCATCATCAAGAGGTGTGTGAGGGCAGCATGTCTTGTGACTGGGAGATTGTCTTTGATTATTTGATTAAGGTGCTGTCTCCAAGCTTCTCCAGTGAAAAGTGACTGTCTTTCCCTTTGTCAATGATAAATACATTGGTGTTGATACTTAGAGTCTTTACTGGGATGCTGTGTCTTCTCCCAGTTTTGCCTACTGATTTTATCATCATGGGTGGATCTCACCTACATAATAATACCTTACTACTGTGGTACTTACTTAGTGATGATTTTGTATTTTATTCCATGGGTTATAACTCAATTTTAGCACTGTTTATTTTGTTGCTCAGGTTGTTCTAGCTTTGGCCAGTGTGACTCCTCCAGGTTGGTTCCCCTGGCATTCTACATGTCCCCATCTTGTTTGAGAACTAACTTCCTGACACCACAGGATGCTGCGTAGTAACCCTGCATTTTCCCCACCTCGAGCTCAGCTCTGAAGTCAACCGCTGCTGCCCCAATAAGTCCAGTTCCTTTTTTGGTTTTCTTTAGAAACCAAGAGCTGTGTGTGCATTAGGTCACCACCTTCTTAGAACCTTGTACGCCCACCCCTTCCCATCTCCCTCTCTTTCTGACAGCTGAAATGCTTTCCAACTTCACTACCATATAAATACTGGAACTTTTTCCTTTTGTAGCTCTCTATTTTTTTAGTTGTAGATGGACACGGTATCTTTACTTTATTTATTTTTATGTGGTGCTGAGGAACAAACCCAGTGCCTCACACGTGCCAGGCAAGCACTCTACCACTGAGTTACAGCCCTAGCCCTGTATCTCTTCGATAAATCTTTGCTCTTATCTTTGACATATCTCTCACTACGTCCTTGTCCCATATTTTCTACTTATTGCAATTCCAGATTTATTTTCTAATTCCTTTAATGAACACTTTGGGTCCAAGAGCCCCTCTGTGGGCCACAGTAGATACTGAAGATTAACCTTGTAGTTAGTTAACTTTAACGCTGACCTTAAAGTGAAGTGAATTATAGTGTGCAGGCAACATGCCTGAATACTAATGTGCTGTTCATTTATTATACCATGTTCAGAAAGCACCTATTATCTTTGAGATAGTGGCATGTAATTAAAAATATAACACTTTGTTTTTTAGTATTATGACTAAATAAAGAAATTAATTGATCTTTGAGAGGTCCTAGAAAAGTTAACTTTAGAGTAAGATTCTGCTGAGAGCAAGGTCATGAGTAATTCCCTTAAAGGAGTGAGTTAATTTTGTTCTGAAGCACATTAAGAAATTGTACTCCTGATCCCAGCTTCCCATCTCACTCCATGGATGCAAAAGGACAGAAGATGGATGATTCCGCCTTTAAAAAAATAAATAACTAACTATCACCAGTACTAGGAAAGGAAACTAAAATTACATCTACTCACAGATGGTGAGTCATCCTCAGTTGGTTTAAATGGTAGCATATTATTACCACAGATGTTTCTAGAATAAAAGGCTGTGTTTATCTTTACAATCAAGCCTTATCTCAATTATTTTAATCATCTTTTTGGATTGAGTATTTATAATAAAATGAATCACTTAAAACCTCTAGGGTTTAATTCACAGAATACTATGATATCTAAAATTGAAAATCCAAGCTGTGTGTTGAATAATGTTTGTATTACACCACATGAGAGCACATTATAGTCTTTTGGGTTAGTTTACTAATATATACTGATAAAATAATTGTTGGGTATATAATAGCAGCTTTGTATGTGAGTTAATGAAAGAGTTAGTTTTAAATTGAAAATGCTATTCTAGTGAGCTCTCTATGAACGTGCAGAATAGTGTATGCTTATTGATTCACTTTTCTTGAAATATGTAAATTAAATACCAAAAAATTCAGAGTTCTTTCTGGGTACCTTGTGGGTCGTTAAGAGGATCACAGTGCCCCTTACTCATGAATTTGCCAAGCTAATGTCAGCTGAAGCAGATGAGTGAAAAGTTTTTGATGTTTCCCTAGCACTATAGACCTACAGCCAAATTTGTAGAAGAATTATTCTTCTACTTTGGGGCAAGTAAACATTAAAATCTGGAAGCCCAGGGCATAGTAACTGACTCTCAACCAAATAAAATATTTTTCAATCAAACACTATTTGACATAGTCTTCTAAAATATTTGTAGAATATCCTGTGTGGGAATATATACTCTCTGAATAAATCTGTCTATATAGTTAAACAACTTGGCTGCTCAGAGTAAATAGTATTAATATCATTCTAAACATTCTCTTCTTACTGGTATTCCGTGAAGTCTGGGAAAGGCAATACCAGGTAATTATTTTTTCCGGACCCTCCTGCTTAAACAGAGACTTAAAGAACAAGCTCTGAAATCCTTAGTTGCTTATTTCTCCTTTAGGGTTTGGAAGGAAATAAAGAAAGTCAGTATGTCCTCTGGGAACCGAGTTAGGAGCTGCAGCTCAAAGTTCTCACTGTCTGTCTATAGCAGCTCCTGGCTCCTACTTCACATAGTGTGGAACAATTTGAATGTCATGGTGGCAGGACACAGTTCATCACATTGCATGCATGTTCACAACCACACCACCTCATATTTGAATATGTATAGTTCCCAGGTTCCCTCTTTTTGTCAGTTTAGTGAACTATCTGCATCATATGAAGATTAAGAATTTTACCAGGGCTGAGGGTATAGCTCAGTGGAAAAGCACTTACCTAGCCTGTATGAGGCCCTGGATTCAGTCCCCAGTAACACACACACTCAAATACACAAATGTGAGGTCATGCTTTTCAAGGGGAATTATTTCATATAAATAAGAAGCTTTGGGATAGTTAAAAGTTACTATTAACCTAACATTTCATTTGCTTAAGACCCTTGGTAAATCATAGGAATTAAAAGTGATAACCAGTTTCACACTGACTTTTAAAGCCTTCATTTTTATATGCTCTTTTTTAGAGTACTTTCATCATTGTCTTCATTTACACAAAGAGAAATATAGAAAGTTACTCTAAAATTTCAAGTGATGTTTTTTTGTTTTTGTTTTTGTTTTTCATTATTAGGGATCAAACCCAGGGCCTTGCCCATGCTAGGCAGACACTCCACCATTGAGCTACACCCCCACCCTTTTGTAAAATTTTAATTTGAGGGCAGGGTCTTGCTAGTTGCCCAGGCTGTCCTCAAACTTTCAATCCTCCTGCCTCAGCCTGCTCAGTTGCTGGGATTATACCACAATCAGCTCCAAGCTTTTTTATAGCTTCTTAAATATTGACTTGCTTAAAAACTTTCTCCTGTTGGGATCGCCCTCCTTCCTCTCCATCAAATATCTTTCATTTCTCTGTCAAATCTCTGATTAACCTATATCTTATAAATAATACATTATAATTTACAGATGTGGCTTGACTGTTCATTCTACCCACAGGTAGTTATTTGACTCCACTTTGAACGGGGCACTGCTGGGAATCATTGAGGGAACAAAAAGATACCAACTCTACACCAAAAAAGATAAGAAAAGAAAAAGGTAGAGATAGATAAATAGACAGACAGATAGATATAAACAGGGCAGCTTATGCTATGTATCAAGTGAATGTTATAAAGGGTGTAGAGGTTAAGTTCAGGAGGAAGGAATGGAGATGTCATTGAGAAGGGCTTGTCAGAAAAGGTTAAAGAGGAACCTCGACTCATATTATGTCTTGGAAAGATCCTAGGCAGAGGAGAAATCCAGGCAGAGGAAGTGAGTGGAAGAGAAGGCCCAAGGCAATATCAGCTTGGTACTCAATGGAAACAGTAGGACTCCTCAATTCCCTCTGCCAAATTAATGTGGCTTTTGTCATTCAGTGATACAATAGTCATTAATGGGCTTTCGAACTTTGTGAATGCCATTCCCAATAAAAAATAATTTTTATTCTTTGATGCAATAAGCACATTTATATATATTTATATATTAAAATTTCTTAGAACAGTACTTACCCTCATTAAATCCAATGGACTGTGATATTTCTTTTTTTTTTAATTGCTGGGCAGGTCTATAAAATTAATTTAATGATCAATTGTCATTTAGTGATTCAGAGGTTAAAAACAGTGCATTAAATCAGTGGTTTTCAAAGTGTGATTCTTGCACCAGGACCATCAGCATCCCCTGAAAACTTGTTAGAGATGTAATTTCCTAGGCCCCACCTGAGACCCGCTGAATCAGAAGATATGGTGCTGGGACCCAGCAGTGGGAGCCTGTACTGTAGCAGGCCTCCAGGCAGTTCTGCTGCCTGCTGGAACTGGAGAAGCACAGCACTAGACAACCTCGCAGCTCTACCCCTGGAACTGTGCCTGGGTCAGTCCCCCTCCAGGTACCTCCCACCTCACTCCTGCTCTAACTTCAGATTTCTTCACCTGAACAGATGGAAGCTCTCACTGAGGCCTGCCCTGGCTGCTCTGTTTCACTTTCAGCACTCCAGTCCTTCTAACCCTACTATATTTTTCTTTTTACATAGCGTTTCTCACCTAGCATACTGTAAGTTATTTATTATAATCCTGCCAGATGACATAAGCTCCAGGAGGTCAGGGGTCTTTACATTTTGTTCTGGAGTATCTGGAACATACTGGACACTTTGATATTTGCTATTTTGGAGGAAAGAAGAGGCAGGAAGGAGAGAAAAGGAAGAATAGGCCTGTTGACTGAGTGAGTGATGGTCTATAATACTGTTTTGAAAACAATTCTTTGAAGAAGAATTCACCATCGACTCTTGAAGAGTCATCTTCCAAGGCAAAATGTAATAAAGAAGCTCAGATGTAACTGGTGAATAGTTATTTAAATCTGTGATAATATTCCACACTCATGCTTTCTTATAGCTACAAAACCCTAATGTGAGGACTTCTGCTTTAGTTCTCCTTATCAGGAAGATAGTTCCTATGTAAATTGGCCTTACTAAATTTTTAATATTTCTCAGGGTTCTCTTGGCTTTTGCTCATAGTGATTTCATTATAGTTCAAACAGAGGGCAATATTCTGATTTATGTTATTAGCATCAATTTGTGAAGTGATCTTAGTTTATTCTATTTCTGGTTCTTTCTCAGAAGGTGCAGAGCATGGTAGAAGGTCTAGCAAAGAGACATTGTGCTTTTTTCTGATTGACTTTTGTCTACCTTCTCCAATGTGAGTAGAGAATGCATGTTCTTAGGTCCTGACAGAAATTGATAGGAGCCTATGCCTGTCACTTCTGACAGTTAGATCAATTTGTTTAACCTAAATCATTCACAATATGCCAGGTTAGCTTCTTGGTTTCACAGTATCCATATGCTGTGTTATAGAGTAATCTCTGAGATGCCACTGCTTTAAGGAATACTGCAAGGTTGTTAGGCCTTTCTCGTACATAACAGAAATTGCACTAAACAGGGCTGGGCTTCTAGCTCAGCGGTAGAGCGCTTGCCTTGCATGTGTGAGGCGCTGGGTTCAATCCTCAGCACCACATAAAATAAATAAATAAAATAAAGATATCGTGTCCATCTACAACTAAAAATATAGATACAAAAAAAGAAATTGCATTAAACACATGGGTGGTCCCATATTTACTTTTAGGGAGGTTTGTTATTTGTTTGTTCAGTGATACTGAAATTGCACCCATGGCCTCAGCAGACTAGGCCAGTGCTCTCCCACTGAGCTATACCCCAGCACTTTTTTGAGTTGGAGTCTTACTGTATTACCCAGGTGGCCTTGAATTTGTAAACTTCCTGCCTTAGCCTCCTGAGTAGCTGAGGAGACTACAGATGTGTGCCAGTGCACCTGACCTGGCCATTCTTGATAAACAATCAAGATGATATTTGTTATAATGTCTTAAATTATAATGTCTTACAAAGAATTTGGGGGAAATAAACATTCAGTCTATAGCACCTAGTCCAGTGACTAAGAAATGTAAGGTTCACAATACAAGCATAGCTCTGGAAAATGCTGAGGAAATACTATTCTGTGTGATTTCATCTTTAAATCCCTATTAATTTTGATAGGGTTTTCTTTGGAAAGAAACTTGTGATTCACAAACTAAAATTTCCTTAAAAAAAAAAGAAGAAGAAGAAGAATATAGTATGGTAATTTAAAAAGACAGAGCCATTTATCATCATTCATCTGTCCCAACCTTAACTGTTCTGAGATTGACTATATGAATGTCAGTGAGACTGTTTCATTGCCTATGTAGTGATCATTTGAGTTATTTATTTCAATTCCTACAAAACACTTTGAACTGTTAATGTATGCCAAAACTAATGGTTACCAGATAGTTATAAAATTATTTATGTCAAGGCATAAGTGAATAATGAATTAGTTTGATTAGAAGAAAAGCTAACAGAACATAATGACTTGTCCTATGGTTCTGCTTATTTTATTTATATTCTCAATTCAGCTTTTTCATATATACTTTTTTAAGTGATAAAATAAGAAAATAATTGTATTTGGTTCTTGTGACTTTTGAAGGGGTATTCTTAATTGAACATAAAGATAGCCCAAAAGTTTCTGAAAACTCTGAAGGGGATATAAGACTTTTAAAAAAAAAAAAAAAAAGACAATGTCCACTGTCTTAAATACTAATGTAATACCTTATACAGAAAACTTGGTCATTTGGAGGAATAAGGTCACTTTCTTTAATGATTTTCCTTTCTGAGGCAAATTGGAGGTAGCAGTGATTGACAAATAAATAATCACACTGAGAATGCTGGTGAACATCTGATCAACTGATTCAAACTTCCTGGTACACTGCATTTGTTGATTTTTAAAAGATTCAAGGCCCTGAAATCTAGCCTAATTCTATGAAGAATGTGAATAGTATTATTGCCCAAGTGAGTACGAGATGATTAAGTAGTTCATGTGAAATTTTGTTTTGTTTTCCTGGGACTTCATTACATACGGGTTCTTTATAGATTTCTTGCCTGGGAGCTCCAAGGGCAGTAGGAGTACTTAAGACACTGCACACTCTAATCAGTAGAAACCAAATCTATTTTGAAAACTTAAAAATAATAATATGATTTTTAATCCCCAAGCACAGTTTAAAATATTAAAATTTAAAGACAACATGCCCCACTTCAAAAATATCCACTGTACAAAAACTCTCATGTTAAAAATGACAAATCATAGGCTTAATTATTTGTGTCCAGAAATTATCTTTGTTCATCAGAAAGATTTCTTGTGGGACTGTGGTGGAATGCTTGCCTAGCATGTATGAGGCACTGGATTTGATTCTCAGCACCACATATAAATAAATGAATAAAATAAGGGTTCATCAACAACTAAAAATATTTTTTTAAAAAAAGGTTTCTTATGTGCTCTTCCAACTAGAAATGATCCTATTACACCTTAAAATATGAACTTTTTTTTTAAAAAAAAAAACTTAAATCAGCTTTTTTTTTAGTTAAGTTAAATATGTGATGTATTCAGCATCAAATTATACTGTTGTTCAATAGTCTTAGAATCAAATTGGAAGGAACATATATTATTGCTAATTTCAGAAGTTGTTTGAGACACAGGAATGATAACTTGCTTCTGATTAAACATCATATCTAAAACATAGTCAAGTTTCCCTCTACTAATTAAACCACCTCCAGCAAGGCACAGTGACACTCACCTACAATTCCAGCTGCTCAAGAGGCTGAGGCAGGAGGTTCTCAAATTCAAGGCCAGCCTAGGCAATTTAGTGAGACCCTGTCTTAAAATTAAAAAAATAAAAAGGGTTGGGAATGCAGTTCAGATATAATGCACATAGAATGAGGCTCTGAGTTCAATCCCCAGAACCACCACAAAAATAACCCCCCTTTTTTTACTCTTTTAATTGAGAAAGATGTCACAATACAGATGACTACATAATAGATATATACTTTTAAAAGAGAAACTACAAGGTAAATATCTGTATGATCAGTGTTATTATCAAGGAATGGAATGTTGCCAACATCCCAGAAGTCCCCACATGCCCTCTCCCCCTAGAAATAAACACTGTCCTTTCTTTGTAGATAATCGTTTTATTTTTCATCCACCATCTGCATGTATATTCCCAAACAACATAGTTTCTAATTTTGAACTTTTCATAAATGAAATAGTGCACTATATTTTCCTTTGCGACTTCCTTTTACTCAATATTATGTCTATGAGAGACCTTTATGTTGTTATATAGATTGTTTCCTCTGATGCATTAATATGACATCATATAAATAGTTCAAATTTCACCATTCTACTGTTGGCATACATTCAGATTACTTCAAATTCTGAGCTACTAAAAATACAAAGTGAAACAAAACTTACAAAATTGAAAAGAAATAGAGATAATCCAAAAATAATAGTTGTAGATTTCAGTTCCTCAATAATAGAATAATTAGTTAGTCAGCAAGAATAGAGGCCTGAACAACACCATCAACCAGCTTGATCTGACTGGTAGAGAGCATTCTACCCAGTGGTAGCAGAATAAATATAATCTTTTTAAGTGCAAATGGAACACTCTCTGAGGTAGTCTACATGCTAGGTCATAAGCCAAATTAATTTAAAGGCTTGAAGTCATACACATGTGTTCACTGACAACAGCAGAATTAAATTACAAGTCAGCAAAGGAAAGAAGTTTGAGAAATGCCCAAATATTAGAAAATTAAGCAACACACTTTCAGTGAATCAAAGAAGAAATCACAAGGTAATTAGAAAACATTTTTATCTGAATGAAAATGAACACACAACATATCAAAACTATGGTGTTCTTCCAAGTGGTGCTAAGAGGAAAATTTATAGTTTAAAATACTTGTATTGGGGTGAAATAAATCCAATAAATAATTTAAGCTTCTACCAAAAGAAACTAAAAGAAGAAAAACAATTAAGCCCAAAGCAAACAAAAGAGTAGAAATCATAAAGCTCATCAATGAAATAAAAAGAAAAATTGTAGAAAATATCAGTGAAATCAAAATCTGGGTTTTTTTTTTTTTTCTTTTTTGAGAAAAACAATAAAATGAATAAACATTTACCTTGAGTAAACACACAAAAAAGACAAAACACAGATTACCAAAGTGAAGACTGAGAGTGGGGATCTCATCATTGACTCTGTATGATAAAAAGAAATGTAAAGGAATATTAAGAACAACTTTAAACCAACAAATTAAACGTTGTAGATGAAATAGGCAATTTTTAGAAAGATGCAAATGATCAAAACTGATTTAAGAATTAGAAAGTCTGAATAGATAACATCACTAGTTTTAAAGTTAAAATAAAAAGAATTAGTAATTAAAATCTTCCCATAAGGAAAAAGCACAGGCTCATGTAGCTTCACTTATAAATAGTTTTTCTTTTAAACAAACTCATACCTTTATTTGTTTGTTTGTTTGTTTATTGTGGTTGTAAATGAACAGAATGCCTTTATTTTGTTTGCTTTTATGTGGTGTTGAGGCTCAAACCCAATGCCTCATGCATGCTAGGCAAGCACTCTCCCTCTGAGCTACAGCCCCAGCCCTATAGATAGTTTTTTAAAAGAAATAATATAAATCTTTTACAAAATCATTCAGAAACTACAGGAGGTAGGAATGCTCCCCAACCCATTCAGTGAGACCAGTATTGCCGTGATAGCAAAGCCAGATAAAGAGATCGAAGAAAAGTACCGACCATGAACTTTATATATGTTCATGCTTCTCATGAACAGACATAAACATCTTTTATAAAATATTAGCAAACCAGCAGCAGCAACACAAAGGATATGTACCTTGACCAAGCAATGTTTATCTCAGGAATGCAAAATTTGGTTTGTATTCAAAAATCAAATAATATAATATTCTTCATTTACAGAATAAAGTACAAAACCACATAATCATCTTAATTAGACCAGAGACCAACAAATGATGACCCACAGGCCAAGTCCTATGGGTCATAGCTCCACCCACTCACATGTTGTTTATGATACTTTCACACTAAAGTAGCAAAGTCCAGTAGTTGTGATGTAGACCATATGGCTCACAGATCTAAAACATTTATTATCTGGTCCTTTACAGAAAAAGTGTGCTAGCAGACAGAACTGTTTTATCTTTTCATGATTAAAATTAAAAAAAAAAAAATAGGAATGGTAATGGGCATATGTGAAAAACCCACAGCTAATATCATGCATGGTAATGAAAGGCAGAATGCTTTTTCCTCTAGGATCAGGAAGAAGGCAAGGAGTCTGCTCTCAGCACATCTGTTCAGCATTGAACAGTGGTTTAAGACAGAATTTTTAAAAATCAAATGTGTACCCACTGGAAATGAAGAAGTAAAACTGTCTATTTGCAGGTGAAATGATCCCATATGTACAAAATCTTAAGGACTCCATAACACAACTACTGAAACTAATAAATGAGTTTAAAATGTTGCTGGAGCCAGGTATGGTGTTGCATACCTGTAAACCAGCAGCTCAGGAGATTGAGGCAGAAGGATTCAAGTTCAAAGCTAGCCTCACAACTTAGCAAGACACTGTGTCGAAATAAAAAGGTAAAACAGGCTAATGGTGTGGCTCAGTGGTTAAGTGCCCCTGGATTCAATCCTATGTACCCACCCCCAAAATTAAAAATGTTGCTAGATACAGGATTTGTGTACAAAAATCTATTATGTTTCTGTATACTGAAAACAGTGCTATATTAACAATGGTATACCCAAGAGTGGATTGTATAACATACATATGTTCAATTTCAGTGTCAAACTGCTCCCCAAAATGGTTGTATTAGTTTATGCTTTCATCAGCAGTGTTTCATAGTTTCTTTTTTTACCCAAAAGGAGAAAAAAATATCTCCTTGTGGTCCTATTTTATTTTCTGCTTCTTAAGAATTACCTCTTGCTTCTGGAAATGCCACTTTAAGCATGAAGCAGTTTTGGCTCCCCAGCTGCCTGTAGACAAACACTGGAGATTCCCCCTTCGTATTTACCCATGTATTCATGTGCCCTGTCATTATGTCCTTCACACTCTTGGACATGCCCTCTCCTCTTGGTGCACTGAGCCATGCATTCTTGTGAAAACATTGCTTGCATTTTTCCATCTCTTTGCCTTTATATGTGCTACTTCCTGCCCTCCTTTGAAATTCTATCCATTTCAAAGGCGTGGCTAAAACCCTTATATCTTTTGTCTCCAAGTTGTTCTTTACCATCTTGTACTGGTTTATTCCACGCTACCTTATGTGTACATTTGCATGTGCATGTTTTAATTTCTCTTCATTTCAAGTTCCTTGGTGTGTTTTCTTTTTCTATCTCCCCATAACATCTTAACATAATACACTACCCTGCACAGACTAGCAATCATTAACCATTCTTGAATGAATAAATGCAGCATGGTTGAAAATCAGCTTGGGCATTAATTTTCTGCTTCCAGATATCATGATCTAAGCATCTTTCAGATAATACCTCCTCAGAAAACAGCTATGAAGCCAGGCATGGTGGCACATGCCTATAATCCTGCTAAGGCGGGAGGATGGCAAGTTCAAGGCCAATCTCAGCAATTTAGGGAGGCCCTAAACAACTTTGTAAGACCCTGACTCAAAATTAAAAGGGCTCGCATGTGGTTTAGTGATTAAACACCCCTAGGTTCAATCCCCTGTATCAAAAGAAGAAAGAAAGAGGGGGGGGAAGGAGGGAGGGAAGAAAGAAAACAGTCTGGACAAATAATACAAAACATAAAACTACCTGAAGGTCCTTGGAGAGTGAGTAGAAGCAGACTCTACAGTGAGTTAATACTCATTTAGAAGAGGGGAGGTAGGAAGCTATGTAAATACATTTCTCTTTCCATGGCCTAGGGCTGAGTACAATCTGCATAGTTTCCAGCATGGTAATGAGGGGCTCACATGGAAAAACTCTTAATATTTCTGGTCTAGGAAACCACAAAAGTGAACCTGAGAAAGCATGAATGCTCAAGAGAATAGAGGAATCCTCAAAGGGAAAGAGCCAGAGGAGGGATCCCCAAACTATATCTGTCTAGATCTCTGACTGATACCTCAACTGTGTGTAAGAAGCAGACTAAAAGCAGCTCAACTAAAAGACCAGAAATCTGAACTAAAACCAGAGTTGCAGTTCTGAAGCTGGAAAGTGTGAACAGATTCAGAAAGCCTCTTGGGGAAGACTATATTGTTCACTTGGGGATGGAAAATATCAAACTTCCTGTGGCTGAGGCTTTTAGCCTTGGACTTATTGTAGTCATGACACCTACAGCAGAAATGGGGTATATATGCAAAAGTTGCAGCCTCCCTGACCTGGAGAATCAGAAAAGAGAAGCTGAGAATCCAGGAACTCTGAAAATAGTGGAGGAATCCCAGAAAAGAGTCAAAGTGGATCCTTAAACACTCTCTGCCATGTCTCTGAACGAGACTTTGAACCACATATCTACAGAAATAAAGCAGCCCAGCTAAAGATAGAAGATCTGCATAGAGTCAAGAGCTTCTGCTCAGAATACAGTTTGTTCAGTGGTAGAGCACTTACCTAGCACTCAATCCTCAGCATGGCAAAAAAATAAAAATAAAAATGCTTTCAGTTCAAACCTAGACAAGAATCTCAACAACTTAACATTAATTTTATTCAGGATACAATCCAAAATTTCCTGACATCCAAGGAATCAAGAAAATGGAACACATTCCCTACATAAAAGAAAATCAATTAAGTTCAATCCCAAAATGAACCAGATGTTAGAACTAACAGATGAGGATTTTAAAGTGACTACTATAACTCTCCTCAGTTTTTTCATAGCATGAAACGTTTACAATGCATGAAAATTTCAGTAGAGAAATGAGATGTCTTCACTGAGCAACAGAAACAATTAAAAAAAAACAAATGAAAAAAGGACAGAAATGTGCAGATATGAGATGCTAATACCAAGCAGAATAGCACAAAGAATCTCAAGTCAAGGCACATTAGCATCAAAACTGTTGAAAGCAAGTGAGGAAGACCATGAAAAAAAAAAACATAGTACAACACGGTGAGCAGAATAACAGACCAGTTAACATCTCACTTCTCCTAAGAAACCAGACTCTCAAAGAGAGGGAACAAAGTCTAAAGTGCTGAAAGAAAACAATTATCAACCCAGAATTCTGTATCCAGTGAAAAGATCATTCAAGAATGAAAGTGAAATGAAGACATTATCAGGTGAAAGAAAACTGAAAGAACTTGGTGCCAGCACACTTGCTTTGCAAAAAAAAATAAATAAATAAATAAATACTGAAGGAAGTTCTTTAGACTGAGCAGAAATGATACCAGATGGAAACTCATATTTCAGAGAAGAATGAGGACTATTTATAAGAAGTGATAAATGCCTAGATAAATGCAAAATGTTCATATTTATACTTTCATTCTCTCTTCCTTTACCACCCCCAATTTTTAATAAACTATATAAAATTTCTTAAACTAAAATCATCACATTGCCTTTTAGGGTTTATCATGTGTGTAGATGAATTATATATAACAACTATAGCATAAAGGAAAGGAGAGAAGGGATATGATCCTGTAGGCTATATACATGAAGTAGTATATTAGTAGTAGTAGTAGTATTTGTAGATATACGATGAAAAGGATATCTATTGTAATCTCTAGGGCAACCACTATAAAAATGTTTTAAATGAATAGCTCAAAGGCTAACAGAAAGATTGGAATACTAAAAAATATTTTTAAAATCCTCACCACCACTGAGGCAGGAAAGATGGAATGAAGGAATAAGAGAGAATCCAAGTAGAAAACAATAAACGAGATGACTGGCCCAAACATAACCACTCAGTTAAGTACATTAAATGTTAATGCATCAACTCATAGACATTATGATTGCTGTATGTATATAGGTGACTCTATGAACAGTGTGATTCTGCAATCTGTACAATTATACCCCAATGACTCAAATGTATGAATTGCTAAGATCATTGTAATGTCATATGTAGCTAATAAAAATAAATAAAATTAAATTTAAAAAACAATCAACTCATAAGAGGCAATATTGTCAGGTGGATAAAATAAGACCCACCTCCATGCTGTCTACAAAACTACATACTCTGCTTATAAAACTAGTTTGAAAGCAGATGGATGGGACATGAGATACCATGTGAGCCGAGAGTATAAGGTTAAAGTAAATGTATTAATATCTACTACAGAGTTTAAAACAAGACCTAAGGTGAAGGGTGATACTGCATAATGATTAAAGGGACTGTCCCACAAGTAGATAGATTAATTGCAAATGCGTATCCAGTAACAAAGTTTTAAAGTTTCATCATACAAAAAGTTGACAGAATTGAAGGTAGAAATGGATAATCCACTATCTTTGCTGGAGAATTTAACATCCCTTCCTCAGTAATTGGTAGAACTAGACCAAAAGAATCAGCGAAGACATAGGAGATCTGTAATGGTGGCAGAATTCACGTTCTTTTCAAATGTCATGGTACATTTACCAAAGTAAACCCTATTCTGAGCCATAGAACTTACCTAAAAAAAAAAAAAAAAAAAAAAGCCATTAGAGTCATCACATGATTAGAAATCACTAAATGCTTTCAAAAAAGGCAAAGTTGTGGCAGAAAGAAGAGCCACGACCCTTAGACAGTGTAAGGAATCAAGTGCAAAGTGACCTATTCTGTATATGATTGTGGCAGTGATCACATGGTTGTGTATAAGTAATAAAATTGAACACTTTTATTGTTTGAAATCCTCAATAAGAAGCGGGGGTGGGCTGAGGTTGTGGCTCAGAGGTAGAGCACTTGCCTAGCATGCATGAGGCACCAGGTTCAATCCCCAGTACCACATTAAAAAAAAAAAATGAACAAAATAAAGAAGAGAGGAAAACAAAGTATTTGGTCAGAGTTCAGTTCAAAAATATAATTGGAGACCAGAAAAACATTGCCAAAAAGTACTTGAAGCTCCCACGTTGTATAGGGTACTGTGTGTTTCGCAGGTTGAAAAAGGAACAAATTCATGGATAGAGAGCATTTAAAGAGATCAGATTTTGGAAAAAGGAACTATATAAGCTAAGCTCCTGAGAAGGACGTAAGACCATTCTTCCTCCATATTCTCATTATACATCCCAGAGCCAGTTCTTATAACAGAGAATAAAAGCTATGTAATACCCACTCTCAAAAAATGAGCTTTTTTTAATGTGGAATTAAAAAAAAAAAAAAAGTTTTTCCACCTAAGCTTATTATCTGTCAAAAAGTGATGGAGGCTGACAGCAGCTATGTGTTCTGTGGCATCCATCACCTCTCTGTGGCAGTCCCAGGGAGAATTCTGGCAGTAACTGATACCATATTTTTGCAGTACCTTCAAGGGTTGTTTTAAAGCAGAATGTACAGTTCACCCTTCCCAGTGTCTTCAGGATGTGAGCATTCTGCACTTTCTACTGTTACTACATATTTATATGATAGCTAATGGAAAGTAAAATTGCTCTAGAAAAATCATTTTATGTGACTGTAGCTTCAAAACCTGAACAACACAGTGCTTTCTGTTAAATGGAGTTGTGAATTACTTGAACAATTACAATAGTATATTTCACCAAACATATTTCAGTAGTTTACTTTTGGCATAATCTCTGTAGCATGGAGAATAAATCAAAAGTAGGAAATAATTTCTGTCATCTATGAGTAGAAAGGCATGGCAGTTTTTCTTAATGTGTCTTCCAGACTCAAGTTTAAAACATCATAATGTTTTTCATATGATTGTAACTCTGTTCATATTTATACAGAGAAAGAAGCACAGAGAGACAAAAAGATTATTCCCCAAAATGAAAAATAAAAATTTGCTTACTTAGAGTAAGGTTAAGGGTGGGTGGGTTGTTTGCCTGTTTTGCTGTGCTTTGCTTTGTTAAAATGTTCTTTAATGTTGTTATGCTGCTTCTACAGTAACAGGGTGCCCTGCTAACACTATTCCAACATTGCCCTATCAAACTAGAAGGTAAACATTGCCACAGCCTCGACAGGAAAATATGTGTTAGCAGACTTTTAAGTATATAGGGTCTAAACTCTTCCCATGTTATATTAGATCTTTACTGTAAACTAGCCAGAAAGTTTCCCAGCAGAAAATAATAATTATGTCTTCCACTGGTAGGAGCACTTCATAAAACTTTTTTCTCTACAAAACAGAATAAACAGTCTTTGATCCTTCGGCTTCCCTACCTCGCAACTTCAACTGCCCGTTCCTTGTTTCCAAGACTCACAGTAGTAAATGTTTTGAATTCTCAGTGTTGGAAAATTTCTGGCATTTCATAGCATTACCCATGAGCCCCACCATCAAAATATGGGTGGGAGGCTATGTCTGTGGTCTTGCCCATAACCGTTGCCAGGGTCCCCAGTAAGACTCCCGATACGTGTATTTTCCTCTTGACCCTGCCATTGATGCCCTTTCCCCTTCACTGAATCTCTCTCTGTCCCTACATATCCTCATCTCTAAAACAGATATACTTGCTCACTTTAATTACACATTTCTGAGTGACCCTGGTGCTTAGATAACAACCTGGAAAGACGTGTAAGGAGTGGGAGATGTGGGAGTGGAGGAGCATGCACATCTCCCACACGCAGGCCTGTCTGCCCTTCCTGCCCCTCACCACCAGCACCACCTCTTCCATAGGACCCACACCACAGCCCTTAGGGGAATTTTATGACTTGCATTGATACACGAGAACCTGGAAGCGGGGAAAAGCATACCAATAGGGGGAATCTCTCTGACGCCTACTTAAGAGTACCTCAGATTCCTGTGTCCAGACCCACAGGTCAAAGGTCTTCATTCACTGGCAGCAAAGGCCTTGTTGATCCTGTCCAGCACAGAGGCAGAATTTGAAGCCAGGTCTCTGACCCCCAGGATGTGCAGTTGATGAGCGTCTGAGGAGAATCCTGTTCTTCCCCCTCTCTCACGGCCCTTCAGTATCCTCTGCTGTCAGAACTCCATGAGTCTAGTCCCATCAGGCCTGCTCCATGGCAGCCTCAACATATCAGCCTTCAGCCTTCCACCCCTCTCCCCCTCACTGCCATCCCATCTGGCTGCTGAATTTGAGACCGTCTGAAAGCAGTCACATTCAGAAGCAAACAGAAGAACATTTAGTTCTCTTGGAATTTATTGTATAAGAAACTCATGTGCTTTGCAGAATATTTACAAGAAATGGTTCTTGAGATTCATTAGAGGTCTCAGATTTGCTTTGGCCATTAAACTCCAGAGTTATTTGTAGCTCTGATCTACAAAGTACTGATGGTTATCCTTTTACCAATTCAGCCTTCATGTTAGAAAATAGACTAATTCTCCCACCACAGGTAACGAGCTCTATTTTTAAATTAAACCTTTCAGTTTTTCCAGTTTTGCTTATTTTCTGTTTTTAAAAGTACCATGCTGTACTGGGGCTGTAGCTCAGTGGCACAGCCCTTGCCTGGCACGGTGAAGCACTGGGTTTGATCCTCAGCACAGCATAAAAATAAACAAATAAAATAAAGGAATGCTGTCCATCTACAATAACAAAAAAAAAAAATTAAGTACCATGCCCAACTCTCATATATGTAGATTGAAATTTAATGTGATTCATAAGAATAATGCTTAGAAACTTACTTATTTTTATTTGGTTGTTTTGTTTGTTTGTTTGTTTTGGTACTGAGCATTGAACACGGGGCATCTTACCACTGACCTACATCCCCAGCCATTATTATTATTAATTTGAGACAGGGGCTCACTGAGTATCTCAGACTGGCCATGATCTTGCAATCCTCTTGTCTCAGCCTCCTGAGTCACTGGAATTACAGGTATGCCCTACCACACCCAGCTACTTTTACTCTTTAAATGGTGGAGACTTAAAGAGCCCTGGTGTGAAGGTGGTTGTCCTTTTCAACTCACACCTCAGCTGGTTTTAAAAGCCTAGGGAACTGGCTTTTCCTTTTGTCTTTTTTGTTGTTGTTGTTGTTATCAAATTATTTGATTTTTTTTTTTTTTTTTGGTACCAGGGATTGAACTCAGGGGCACT